AAAAAAAAAAAAACAAAAGAATTTGAAATTTCAAAACAGATTAGATGGAGAGGAAAGTGACACAAGACCATTGTAGTTGGCATTCATCTAAATTGAAGGGGAGATGATGGATGACAATAATAGAGATGAAAAGTGTAATTACTAATCTGAGATCAATAAAATCATCAGACAAGAGTAGGTTTTGAGAAAGACACCATCTGCATTATAGTCTATGAAAATTGGACCCACAATGCAGAGAGTAACATGACTAAAACAGGGCTCAACTTACCAATATGAGGGTTTGCTGATTCATGTATAACAAAAGCAAGTGATACACCAACCTGTAGTGTCAAAATAGATACAAGATTATAGACTTACAGAAGATAAGATCACAAACTTTGGCTTATAAATCTGTTTAACTTTGACTCTAGTGATGGCAGTGTCATGGATGGTTGAAGACAAAAAGGTTGGACATATCTGATTGGTAGGTATGATCAACCCATAACTTTCTCCATAACGCTTTTTAAGATACGTACCCCAACAAGGACACCAATCTCAATTCCAAGGAACAATGTCGTAGTAGCAGTGATAGTCCAAAGAAGAAGATCTTTCTTGTTTACACGCCATAAGAAAATGGCCTCTTCATAATCCACCTGAGATGACAAAAGAAACAAACATCAATGACTAAACATGTGCAAGAACTCTTTCTTGTTTCTATGATCCTGAGCAAGAACCCTTAAAAGCCCCTAGCTGATTTGCAATGCATATTTTTCAAGTTTACAAAATTTTAAGAGAGTTCCAATATGTATGCCCAAATCTCAAATTTTTTTCCCATGTACCTGTCATGGATGCAGTGTTTTAATAAACATTACAATAGACCATGTCAGTTTTTGCAACCAGAAAACTGGATGTTCTAGTATTCATTCAGAATAGAATGCAAAAGTAGTATAGAAAGAAGTTTATGGAGTATCCTCTTACTTACCAGACTTATAACAGCTGAGATTACTATTGCAGCCAGAGCACACTGTAAAAGTGTGAAGAGTGCATGTACAAGAGTTAAATATTCAGAAAAAAAAAAGGGAAGAAGAAGAAAAAGAACTGACTTCTTGTTAATTAAAATAATACTACAGATGAAAACAGGGAAGATATCAGAGAATTCAAATTGATAATTTCATTGTTAATTGATTCCATATAAACCACTAAGTTGAAGAACATATGATAATGCATACAAAAAAGTAGGTAATTATCACATTAAAATGTTCCTCTATTTATTGTTCAAGATGAAATTCAAATGCACAAACAAGAAAACTAACCTGGGGTATATATTCAAACAATGGTGTCAAGAACAAAAGAGCACAGCCCATTATAAGACCTGATACAATTCCAGACAAGCCAGTTTTTGCTCCACTCTCATGATTCACAGCTGACCTGGAAAAGGATCCTACATGACATGTTCACAAGGAAAAGATAAATAAAAAGAACAAAAATATAGAAGTCTGTATTATAAGCAAAACAATGGAATGCAAACCTATTCACCTGTTGTTGGATATGCTGAAAAGAATGAACCAAATATATTGGCAACACCAAGACCAAATAACTGTGAAAAAGGAAAAATGGTAACTGCTTGTAAGTTTCATTGCCTAAAATAGGACAGATAAAGTTCTACTAAGATTTCCACAAGTAGATTAAAAGGGGCAGAAAACAATGTAGTTTGGCCATCAGCAAACAAATGTAGTTCAAACATCCAAATTCTGCTATGAAGGTCAAAAGGGATAGCACTCACAAATTGGAAAAGTCCCCAATATATTAATCCATCACAGATATTCAAAGTATATATATCCATAAACAGTGAGGGCTCTATAAAAAAAAATGCTACCCTCACCACATGATACAACAATAAGGAATGCATCAAATTTTTAATTAGGAAGATAGCAATTTCAGTAAGGCACTGAGAACAAATTCATAATTTTGCAAAACCAGTAGAGTACCTGTTCTAGAAATAGCTCGATAAAAATGAAAGTTCTACAAGTAGATTGCATTGACCATTAAAAGATCACAACTCAAATACCAGTGATCTGAACTCAACACAAAGAAGCCAATTTCAGTTTTAAAATCAATTTTTTAAACTCATCTTTAAGAAATTAACTTTTCCCTTATATACTATGAAAACATAGCACCGGAAGATTATCGAAGGCACAAACAAAAGGATAAAGCTCAACAGTAATATAGTGCAAATGAATGAATGAAGAGAAGGAGCATTTTTATTCCACGGGTGGGTTTTTGAGGCCATTACACTTCATTTTCATAAAATATACCTCTTGATTTGAATCAAGCTCATAGCCATTTTTAGCAGCCAATGCTTTGGCAATCCCCACGGATTCCTAGAATTCAAAAATGACTATTGTTTTATTAGTATTCAAATCAAATTGAAAACCTAAATTAGCAATAACCAGAATGATCCTTGTATCTTCTTACCAGGATGGCTACACCTGTGATGAGAAGTGCAGTTGAAATCAAGGACTTTGCATACTGAAAACCTTTAGGAATCGAAAATTTTGGAAGCCCCTCAGGTATCTCTCCTACCTAAAAGAACAGCCCAAGGATGTCTATGAGCCTATTTTAATTGGTTTAATTTGACTTATCTCATCAATGACATTCCTACAGTAGGACATGACAAACATCTAGTTGAAGGGTTTGTAATTGTGGATGAAAAGTTGGACAGCATTCTAAAACACATTTGATGATGGGCATCTAGTGGTAGACTGGAATTTAAGAGTAGCCATGAGACAGTGTAGCTGGCATTGACACCTTATTTGTAATTTTCATGATTTAGAAAACTACTTGTATCCCAATGTTGCGAGGACTATTGAGTCACTCCAATTTTATAGATAAAATTTCATGAATGAATGTAAATTACTCCTAATTTTAGGCATTATGGCTAATTTCCAATTGAAAAGTGAATGGTCAACTGATATATCACTTCTAAAATAAGGATTCTGTGCTAGACTTAATATATGATAATTTCAAGTTGGTTACGTTATATCATTCTCACCAAAGTAATAGAAGATGGATGAAATATTTTCACAAAAGTTGTACCCAAAACTACTGCAGTTAGGGGACCTGCTGCTCGTAAGAACCGCAGGCACTTCCTTGATTTTCCCTAAACATGAAAAAGTCAAAATTACAATCATGCTTCATTCCATCTAGAAGGAGGAAGAAAGAGTAGAACAACATACCAAATGCTTCATGACCTGAATTATCACAAGAATGACAGATCCCATTACAAAAGGGGGCCAAGAAAACTACAAAAAGGAAAACACCACCTTTTGTTAAAGAGAGTAATAAATGGCTGGGACCATAAGGCATGATACATCTAAGAAAATAAAAAATAAAAAAAAAGAATGAATGACTCATAAAATGACATGAAACAGGCCTATATAGATGCCAATGGAAGATTAAAAATCAGTTTTGTTAATATATAAGGTTGAAGCCAAACCCTTGTTTCAGTCAACAGTCAACACGGATCATATTAGGAGACATCAAGACATATTATGCCGACATAGTTATGCAGGAAATCATGCACGTATAAAGGAAAAAAAGAAAAGAAAGAAAATGATATACATCTCAAACATATCTAAAAGCAAGCTGCAGAATTATAAATCCATCTCATAACAAAACAAATCTATCAATTTAAAAAAATGAATCAGAACTCCAGAGGATCTTTTGTGGTTAGGAGCACTCGGTTTATATCTCAGACAATTCCCTAGTAAGTTCCAAAGCCAAATTGCAAAGACCCTTCACCACTTTCATCTGCCTCACATGGTGTTTAGCTACCCATACAGCAATAGACAGTTTATTAAGCTTAGAGTTCTGTTATACTCCAACAAAGTTAATAGAATATCAAATTACTTCAAACAGACTTGGTTGGTCAGGCAATGCCAAGGAAATCAATCAGTCCAGCTATTTAAATCACTCATAAATATATCTTTTGCTAGCATGAAAAGAAGATGGATGCATGAGGATTTGAAAATTTTCTCTACTGCAAGAAATGTCTTCCAAATAGAACAAAAGCTCATCAAAGAAATAGCATGTGACCAACAATTTCATAAACAAAACGGAAAAAACTTTCAAGTTTTCAATTGACTTCCAAATTACATATAATTTCTAAATCAACTTCTCATTTACATATCAACAGAGTTGATTTTAAATGCAAGTTATGAAATTCTGTTTAATCAATGAATCAACACACTACCAGAAAAGATTTCCCACTTTGACTAGTAAAATTTACCTTATCTATTCCAGATATTATGCTCTTAATTAATGGCACAATCTTGCTACTCCTTACAACATCATACCCCAAGAAATACTTCACTTGGGATAATGCAATCACGATGGCTGAAGCTGTTGTGAAGCCAGAAATCACAGAGTGACTGATGAAACGAATGAGCCATCCAAGCCTGTAAACAAGATGGATAAATATATGTAAAACTATAAACTCCTATTGAAAAGCCTATGAGGAATAACAATCCTAGAAACAGAAAACATGAATATAACCAAATAATGAAAGAATTATAGACCATGTTTCTCCATTTCTCCCATTCTATCTCTCCTTTTTCTTTTCAGTTTTGCATAAAAGCAGCAAGATTTCATTGAAATGTAAACAGTCATTGCTGAAGTGAGCCCCATCCCCAACTCTGTTTCCCTCGAATAAAAAGAAACTAGATCTGAATTTTTGGTAGGTGAAGATACATTTCAATCATTTAAATATAAGAAGAATGCTCTAATACACTTTCAAGTCACTTCTTTGCTCTATGCTAGCATCAATTTTACACTTCATTAATGTTATCACCATAGGCTTATATTATCTTGGAAAAACAGCAAATTTTATGATCAGCAAAGGGTAAGTAAGACTCGCAACATTTTAGCCTGTCGGTGATTGGTGACCACTCTTTCAATAAAGAATGAAATTTCAAATTTGAACATTTAACCAGTGCACAACTATCTTAGATTTCTGGACAGGACGCATAGTTAGATGTGCATGCAAATTATTAGTCACTGGCAAATTCAAGAACAAATCATACAAACTGAGATTCTGCATTGGGATTAAAATAACCAGTGGTACCTCAAGAGGCCCATCATGCATTCCAGGATTCCAACCATCAGTGCCAACAAAATTGCAAGTTCTGTGTATAATTCATCAGATGAGTCAACAATTTCACCTAAAACATTGGATACCAGGAGAGAAACCAATGCCACGGGACCAATAGCAAGCTGGCGAGAGGACCCAAATATAGCATAAACAAATATTGGCACAAAACCAGAATCTGTCCAAAAACCAAAATAAGGATTCCACAGTTACTAAGAAGATGCAAATTTAGAGTTCTGATTCACAAAATGACGGCATGGAACGTGACAATACCATCAATATCACTTCACATGACGAGGGTGGTGATACTGATTGCACTATCAAATATAGAACAAATGTCAAATACAGTTGTATATCATCATTAACTTACATAACCCGTATATTGGTTGAAGTCCAGCTAATTTTGCATATGACATTGCCTGGTCATTTACAAAAAAACTGTCAAACACATAAAGCATAACATTGACAGCCGCTAAAATTCATTGCTTTAAAAGAGTAATAGGTAGCAATCAAAATGATGACAAGAGATCATGAAATTAAACAAGTTCCATCAAAGAATCAGTCTAGAACAGAAAGGGAAATACAGCATTCAAAAACCCATTCCCCAAAAAAAATAAAAAAGGCGGAAAAGCAACTTTGGAGAAAAATACATAAAACTTAGAAACTGCCAGCCAGACTTGAAATGGTTCCCTTAACAAAACAGCCGAACAATGAATTAGGACCATAAATTACGGTGCTAGAATAACAAGAGCAAATCAAACACCATTCCTTGGCAATAATTGTAGTAAATTTGTTTACTGTAATTTAAACTACTTGAGAGGGGTGAACATAAGGGTTGTTGATACAGTTGGAATAAACATCTTATTATTGGCCCATTTCCTTCTCACGTGTTCCATTGCTTCAAAAAAGGGGGAAAAGAAAGCCAAACACGTCGATCAATTCTATACAGAAAATATTGTCCAATCATCTTTTAAATAAACACTGAACAAGAACCAATTCTTTACTTGAATCGGTAAATTGGAGAAGGAAATTTCAATCCACTCCGATTTTGATTTTGTTGATGCAACCACGATAAATTGAGGTTTGGTGGCTTGTCCATCGAAAAGAGATCGAATTGACAAGCGCATGACTTGCAGATGTGAGCGGAAAAGTCTGTTTGTTACCAAGAAAACTTGACAACCTCAAGGAAAAGAGATCGAATTGACAAGACTATGACTGGCAGATAAAAGCGGAAAAGTCCGTTTGGTTCCCAAGAAAACTTGGGAAACAGAAAAAAAAAAAAAAAATCAAAATCAGGAAAACAACTCCAAATAATAATCACTGGCAAATCAGCCTGATTAGCAGAGAATCACAAAAGAAGCTCATGAGCGTGGCCAAAGTTTCTAGAGCTTAGCTTCTAGATCACGACGTAATTTTAATTCTTATCCCTATTTCCTTTACTTTCCATGATTTTCTCGGTAACTAAACAGGAAATGAAGCAGCCTAGTAGTTTTTAAAAAAGGGATTTTGATTCTTAATAAACAGTCTAATTTTTTACTTTAAAAAATTAGGCGGTGAAGACGAGAAAAGCTCATATTCATAAATGCAATGTTAATTTTAGCTTTCTTAAACTCATGATGAAGCTGAATCGACACGTCTGAAGAAATCGAAAAGGGCAAAAACAACGTCGATTTTCCTTCGGCTTTAGTTTTCTGTTTCCCAGCAACCAAACAAAAAAGTCAAACAAAAATATTTTTGATAAACAAAAAAACATTCATTTCTATCTTCATCTTCAAATTTTCCCAGGGAAGGAAGGTATGGAAGAATCACCTGCGGGACGAGCATGACACCGACGGTGATACCAGCCATGAGATCGAGCTGCAAGTACTCCCGCCATTTGTAGGTACGAATCCACCGGCAGCAAGGGAGGAACAGGTCGATCCACTCAACAGCCGTCATCCGCTTAATCTTGGAGACCCATCCAGAGAACAGAGCATTAGACCAAACCGAAGAATCTCCGGCGAACGACGTCGTTTCCGGATGCTGCAACGGAATGATTTTAACGGCGCGGGTGGGCATGGATGCTAAGCCAGCGGGCAAGGAAGAGGAGGAAGGGGAAGAATAAGAAGAGGAAGCGAGATCTTGCGCGCTAGACGAGACGTAGCCTATCTCCATGCGCCGGCACGGTGCATAATTTACAGCCTCCGCGACCGGCGAGCTTCAATTTATGCG